TGTCCCCAGATAATTTTATTTTTATTTTTGACCTTTGTTGATAAGTTTTGTATTTATTATATTTAAATGCCCCCTTCCTGTTAGGACCCATCGTATTTTTTTTTTAATTACTTTATGTTTCTATATATAGCAGAAAAACTAGGTGAAATGTCCTGTAACCTAACTGTCCCCAGAGGCGATTTTTTAATTTAAATTATTATATTCTTCTTCTTTGCAGCTTCCTTCTGAAAAAATAAATTATTTTTGAACAATGGAAAGTTCTTTTATTCGTATATAAAAATAAAATAGTTTTCTACAAAGTAGTTTAAACAGAAAAAAATATTAAAGTTGACATTTAAAAATCTTGTCTTTTTCCTAACGTCGTCTTCTATGCCCACTGCTTCGAAATAGAGACACGAGATAGAGATACTATCGTGTTATTTCTAGAGGGCATACATGTTTGATAGTTCGGCAACAACAAGTGAGCACGTGTAAAGTGTGTGAATTTTTTCGTAAATATTTTAAAGGTAAGATTTTTTTGCGTAAACTTTTGGTGTCTTTTACAAAACTCTACATATAACTCTTGTTTTAGAAGCTAACTTTTTTAGTTTTATTTTGTATTATAGCATAGTAGAAATTCCAAACAAATGCCGAAAGATATTTACATTTAACAGCATTTCTGAAAAATAACGTTTGAAAAAGTCATAAGCAATGTGTCATAAAACGTTCAGGAAGATGCGTTAGAAGGAGGACAATGTTTCATTTCTTCCTTGTGTTCCTTCCCTATTTCAGATTAACCCTATAAGTTTTATTTCTTTAAAGTTTATTTTTGTTATTTATAAACTTATAGAATTTTTTTGCAGTATATTACACTGTTCTATCACAAAGGAAAAAAAATCGATCAAATTGACCTGCCTGGACAAAATATATATACAAAATGTACATTTAACGAAAATTCGCCCATAAACCACAAAACACAAAAATCGTCTGTTAAAACTACAATACCTATAAGGTAGACAAAAATCATCGTCTTTATTAATGTAAATGTAGTCTAGCCCGATCCGACTTTTTACGATACGATATCGTAAAAACCCGACATTTACTACTATTCGTTGGACCAACGACTTTGGTTACCTACGCAAAAATTCATGCAAAATTACACGACACCAAATGAGTTTTTCGACATTGCTAAACACGATGCTACTAAATAAAATAACAGCATCAGCATGCCTGTGGTAGCCGCAGGCTATAAACAATTGGTAAATAAAAGCAACGTTGCCATATGCTGTATTAACATATGGACGTTACATAATCCTTTTATCTAATTATAAACGGTATTCTAAATTGAAGGAAATTATTTTTACATAGAACAGGAACCATTTTTTATCTACACTGCGCGTCAAAATTAACGCATAATAAGTAAAAAAAATTACTCTAGAACGCCTTTACCATGGTATTGCAATCTTTATAAAATTTTGGATGAAAATACTCAGTTTACGTGTTCAAGGGATATTCAAGAAAATATCCTTAAAGCCCTTTTATTTCATAATAAAAAATATGCTATGAATTACCTTATGTGTAAGTATACCCTGAAAATGTTTTACAAATCAAACGAATAGTAACGAAAACACAGAGCTTTAAAGTCGTCAAAAATGACCACTTTTCAGCAAAATAATCAAAAAGGGCTCATTTTTACCGACTTTGAAGCACTGTATCTTTGTTACTGTTCGTTTGATTTGTACAAAATTTTCAGGGTATACTAACAGCACATTTTTATTTACTTAAAAAAATTTCCCTAAAAGTTATTTTTCAAACGTTTTATTTATTATTAAATAAAAGGGCTTTAAAAATATTTTCTCCAAAAACCCTCGAACACGTAAACTGAGATATAAGTTGAAGTATTTTTATAAAAAATTTCATAAAGATTAGTAAAGGCGTTTTAGAGTTAGAATTTTTTTACTTATTATGCGTTAATTTTGACGAGCAGTGTAATTTTGAAATACTTTTGACACATATTCGCATGTCTTTAACATAATTGAAATACCTAGATGAAAATTTATTAAAATAAAGGTTTTTTGTATTTATTAAATGTCTATAAAATCTTTCTTAAAAAAATCCAAGTTTTAACTTAAATAATAGTATATTATGTATCAAATTTGATCAACGCCATTTTAGTCACGAATTTAATTTAGGCACGAGCGAGCTTGCGTACCATGAAAAGTTTATAAACAAGTTGCATACTATACTTTTTTTACGACAAATACTTAAAATATTTTATACCTTAATTTCTTTGTTATTATAATTGCAAAATATTATCACAGAGGAAGGAAATGTTAAAGGTGCAAAAAGTGATTGGAATTCCCGTTAGAATTTATAATTGGGGATCAACCGGCGTTAAAATCTCAATTAAAAGGGTAGTACGAATCTTCATATGAATCGTCTAATTTCAAAAGCGGCCATCCCCAATTTTTTTTAAATGATTATTTACACTAATAAAATCGAAATATTACGTAGTATGTTAGTGCAAAATTATATCCCAATTGTTAACAAAACCGGCTATTTGCAAGGAAAATAATTCATTAAAGTTTTATGTTAGTTTTAATAACGGCCATCTCCATTGATGTTTTAAGTACAAAAATGTACTTAAAATGCCCATTTCCCTTTTGAAACATATGTTTTTTTAATTAAAACTTATAATATTATCTGGTTACTTATTTTGTATAAAAAATATTTTTAGTTACCATATTAAAAAGTTTATTTTTTACCCATTACTGTTTGGAATGTTTTTTTGACGTTTACTTAAAATATTCTTCAAAGGAGATGGCCGCTTTTGAAATTAGACGATTCATATAATCTTTTTAAATAAAACTATTTAATACTTTTGTATTTTTGTATTGAAATAATAAAATAATATTCACATTTGTATTGTATAACATTTGACAACTGTAAACTAACTTAAAACTAACTTCAGCCCGTGACTAAAGGGCCATAAAGCCACAACTATAGAAAAGTCTAGTAGTGTTAAATCGCAGAACCTTGCTGGCCAACTAGAATCACCACCACCACTCAAGATTATGAAACCTATATTTTTCTCTTAAAATTTATTGTGATTTTCTCATTCCACATCACTTTGACTAATGCAATATGAACAATAGTTTATTATAATAGTTACCTACTTATTGTAAACTATGATTTAAATGGTCAGCACTCATTCTTTGACTCTGCCGTGAAAGTAAAATGCAAGATTTATTGTAGCTTGGAAAATGGACCAATCGTGATCTTACCTTAGTATTATTATTTTTTTAATAATAGAGTAAGTACCTATTAACGATAATATAGACAATAATAGTAATTATTGTATTTTTTTCTAAATGAAAAACACCTCAAGAAATTTACTAATTTTGGTATAATTATAATAATAATAAAAAACTTTCGACCATTAACAATGAAAATAGATTTTTAGTTTAAAATTTAATAAAAAGGTTTTCCTTATAGGTACCTAGCTATTGCATTTATTTGAATAATGGTGGCCCACAAAATTATGTAAATAAGTGTACATCTATTCCATTCCCAATATTTTTATTGCATTTTTTAGTTTTTATTAGCTTTTCTATGGCCCATTTAAATTTCTGTTATTTTGTTTTTTTTCTTTACCTATAGGTATACCTACCATCTTAATTTTCCAATTTTAGACATTTTTTACTAAATCATACATATCATTCATATAATTTGGGGTGTATATAATAAAAATATCAAAAAAATAACCCACGCAACAAGGTCGAACAACAGTTTCTGAAACCGAATTTTATTTCGAAAAACAATTGTCTGGTCCACTATTTCTTGCCTAAGAACCAAATCAGCTGGTCCGGCTCGGTTGCTATGGTGCGCTTGGAGGGGTGAGTGAGCGGCTCATGATGCCGAGGAACAGTGTTGCCAGACGTAGAGCGCCTAAATATACATACAGTTCTTTTTTTATCTGTACTCGTGTTTTTTTGTTAGGTTGGTGTCTTATGCCAATTTGACTTAGTATTTTTAGTATTTACAAATGGTACTTCTGCTAAAGAATTTAATTAAATACTTTGACGCTGTCAAATTGACAATAATATTTATTATTGATAATTTACTAGTCAATTATAAATAAAAAGATAATTATGCCAAAAATAATAGCAACGAATTCGAATGTAAAAGCCCTTTTAAGGGCAAAACTGATGAAATTATGCCAAATGCCACAATGGAAGAAAAAGTACATCGCCTTATGGACATTTTTGGAGTAAAAAAGTAACGAATTTAGTTTTATAAATATTACATCACACATTATTTTCACATTATTCGCCATTGGACAACATTTACGTTCACAAAAATGTAATTTCTTTTATATAAATTCTTTTCAAAGCGAAGATTATTATCCGCTAGGAAAACTTTCTCTTATGGGCCGTAAAGCAACCTATATTTAACTACTTTTTTATATGATTTTACTCATCCAAGGACCACCAAAGCTAAGTTAATTGCATTTTTAACTACGAATTTTGACAACTCAACTTTACAACTGCACAATGTAACCTACAATAATTTATACATAACCACAATTAGATTTATAACTAGCTTAGTTTGTTTTAATCAATGCGACCAACTTGACAACTGTATTTACCAACCAAAACCCTAAATTTGCAACGTTGCCGCAGTCCAGACAAAAAAAAGAACTTTAAGTCAAAATTAAATAATTTTAAATTTAACAATTTGCTATTCATATTTTTGTATTTTATTCACGTTGTCACGTTGTGTAGTGTCTTTCAGAATGGAAAAATGTCACTTTACCGCCTAGCTAGGTCTACAATATACTATTTTATTTTTTAAAATTATCTGGGTACTAAAATTTTCATTTTAATCTAGTCTGGTCTATAAATTATAAACAGTTTATAATTTATAGACCAGACTAGATTAAAATGAAAATTTTAACTTTGATGTGGAGAAGACAAATATACCAGATTTGTCCAATTGCACAAGATCTGGCAACGCTGCCCGAGAGTGGGTTGGCTTCGCGTCGCCTTCTGTCAAGTTTTCTGTCAGTGCGCTCTGCGATATATAAAAGTTAGCCGGTGCGGTAATTTTACAAAGTTTGTTGTTATGATATGCAAACCCGGTGAACAAAAGGCACTAAAAGCTAGTTGCTCGCGTGGTTATTAATCGGGAACCTTTGGATTATGTGCACCAATAGAAGAAGAGCGTTTTGTTGACGGGAAATAAGTGAAATAATGTACCTATATAAAGAGAATGGAATGTCTTAAAGATAGTTTGTATGCCTACTGAATACTAATCGTACTGTCTGACCGCAAAGAAAGAATTACTCACCGACTGTAGATATGAGAATAAAGAAAAACTGACCACAAAATCATCAGGGTTTCCAAGAAATCATTCAAGATAGAGCCGAACACAGAAAATGTACGAAATCAGTTTCTTGGGTCCCGGAAATACCACAGCGTGTCTGAATCTATGAATGATACATCTGTGATGTTGTGTTTTGTGCAAGGATTCGAGCAGGCTAAGGACGATGACGGTGTCGTTCTACGTAACAGGGAAAACCAAGGATCGGAAGGATCGTCGGGATCTGCCAAAGAACCGCGCTTGCAAATCGTCAAAAACAAGTTTCTACGAAAATCAAGGTAATTCAAAAAAGGGCACAAAACACCCTTCTCTTTGCATGAATCAGCAAAAGATGGTGTTTGTTTATCTATACCAGAAATCTTATGTTACGCTCAAAACATACGTATACAGCCTGTATAATACAGGGTGTCCCAAAACTCGGTGACAGGCGGGAACTTCAAGTAATTCACAGAAAAATAATAAAAATGTATTATTACCTAGTGGCAAAAACTCGAAGAATTTTGCCAATACCTATTACATTTTTAATATTCCCGAAGAACGTGCCATCGCCTGTTTTACAGAGTTTTGGGACCCTGTATTTACCTATAAATATATATAATTGTTAAATTATATTATTATTATTATTTTAAAATGTAGGTAATTAAGGAGTGAATTAACGAAAAAATTCCTAAAAAAGCTAAATGTTATTCGATTTTTATTTGTTTTTACTAAAAACTTTTTAGCGTTATTACAAAATTTCAAAGTGGACCTTTTTGGTGTGGCGTTAATGCGTCCTTATAATGACGAATTGAGGTTAGGTATCTGTCAATTTAACGTCAATATCGTGGTACTTTCATTAAAAAAATGTAGGTACCTATAGTAAATTTAAAAGTAAACTACGTACACGTCATCAATCAGCTGATCTGGCACGGTTGTCAATGTGATGCTAAAATCCTTGCATCAAGGGAAAGTGGTAGTGCAACTACAGGGCGATAGATGGCGTTTACATGAATAATACCAAAATGTCAAAAGTCTGAGTTTTTATAACCTATATGATGCACCGCCAAAAGTATGTTTTTAGCCATTTTTAAAGACATTTTCTGATATAAAACCCAAAAATTTTGACATCTAAAGTCAGTCTCTGGTATATATATTATTATTTCATGTATCCAACATATATTTTGTTAAATATTCTAATATATAATTAATAATAATCCTATTTACCTCTCTAACAGCTGTTAAAGGTAACAAAGGTCCATTATTATCCCGTTCTGCCTCAAAATAGCGTATTAAGGATGACACCAACTCTTGACTCCGACTATTTAAATGCTTCGGCATTTTAAATATAGGAAACACAAAAAACGATATATAACAAACACAAAAACGGCAATGAAAACTTAAACGATATAAAATAACACAAACAACAAACAAAATAAACGAAATAATACACGAATTAAAAGAAATATTCAAAAACACAACTGACAGCTTCGAAATTCTAAAACGTGAAATTCTTTTTTATGTGTCATTTAAATATGAAAAATTTGAATGTAAACATGACAACATCACAATTGTTGCCAACTTAATTTGGTTAAAATGCATTCAAATATTCAATTACAGACTTCGATTTAGTCATTTAGTGTTGGTACCAATGCGTAAAATTTTTGTTTTATTGATGACGTGTACGTAGTTTACTTTTAAATTTACTATAGGTACCAACATATTTTTACTATACAAGGTGCACCAAGTATCCTTCTATGTGGGTATTTTTTTTATTTAAAGTCGTTTAAAGAAAAGTAAGCGAGATAGCGTTAGTAAACCAATTAGATCGCGCCATTTTCATTGTTCTTGTCGAGTTTATTTTGCTCAAATTATTATTACTGTACGAAATTTTTCCATTTGTTGATTTGGTAATCTATTATTCTTCCTGTTCAAACGTGTGGGTTTTAAAAATTGCTTAATTTAATTTGTTTACCAGTTCATACCACCAAAATAAAAAGGCATTTAAAGTTCAATTTTTTTATCTGGACTGCGGCAACGTTGCAAATTTATGGTTTTGGTTGGTAAATAGTTGTCAAGTTGGCAACGTTGCAAATTTATGGTTTTGGTTGGTAAATAGTTGTCAAGTTGGTCGCATTGATTAAAACAAACTAAGCTAGTTATAAATCTAATTGTGGTTATGTATAATTATTGTAGGTTACATTGTGCAGTTGTCAAGTTGAGTTGTCGAAATTCGTAGTTTAAAATGCAATTAATTTGGCTTTGGTGGTGCTTGGATGAGTAAAATCATATAAAAAAGTAGTTAAAAATAGGTTGCTTTACGGCCCAGAAGAGAAAGTAATCCTAGCGGATCTTCGCTTTGAAAAGAATTTATATAAGTACTTAAAAGAAATTAAAATTTTTTGTAAACGTAAATGTTGTCCAATGGTGAATAATGTGAAAATAATGTGTGATGTAATATTTATAAAACCAAATTCGTTACTTTTTTACTCCAAAAATGTCCATAATGAGATGTACTTTCTCTTCCATTGTGGCATAATTTCATCAAAATGAAGTTTTGCCCTCAAAAGGGCTTTTACATTCGAATTCGTTGCTATTATTTTTGACCTAATTATCTTTTTATTTATAATTGACAAGAAAATTATCAATAATAAATACAGAAGTACCATTTTTAAATACTAAAAATACTAAGTCAAACTGGCATAAGCCACCAACCTAACAAAAAAACACAAGTCCAGATAAAAAAAAATGAACTGTATGTACACAGGTTTATTTATTCCGAGATTTATTCATTCCTTTACACGTTTTTAAGCAAAACAAAACAAATAAAAATATTTGGCACCTTATTTTTATAAAAAAATCAATAAAATGACATAAAAAGGACTCCTAAGAAGATTTTGTAGGATAAGAAGCGGTTTTCAAGGGTTGAAACTTTCAAGTTTCAACATAAAATTACAGGCGCAAAAATAACATAACTTTGGTTTGAAAGCTTTAGGGCCATTCCACGCGTAACGGATAGGACAGTTGCCGTGTTTTTATTTACAAAATAATATTGTTCTATTATATTACCAATATCAAATTTTTATAAATAGTTCTAAACTAAAGCTGTTTAACAAGGTTTTTATTTGGCAAAATTAGGTATCGTGGTTGACTGTTTAATTCCTTAAAAACTAATAATTTAAAGCGTATCGGACGGGACTTTGTAATAGTCCCGTCCGTTACGCTTTAAATTAGGTATTAATTTTTAAGGAATTAAACAGTCAATCACGATACCCAATTTTGCCAAATAAAAACCTTCTTAAACAGCTTTTGTTTAGAACTATTTATAAAAATTTGACATTGGTAATATAATAGAACAATATTATTTTGTAAATAAAAACTGTCCTATCCGTTAAGCGTGGAATGGCCCTTTATTATTTTGTATTGTATTATTTTGTAAGTACCTACCTAATGTGATTACAGCTATACCGCGGACTTCTCAAAATATTTAAAAATTGTTATACACGTTAAATTATATTATACTAATACGTCGAGCTTTCGAAGTAACATTTTTTTAAATGTAATTTTATATACCGGGTGTATCTAGAATATACGCACCCCTGTAACTTTTTTATTTATAAAGATAGACACATGAAATTTTGCATGGTTAATTAGGCCTATAGGATATATGAATGAATTTTTTGAACTTCCGGTTTCGCCGGAAATGATACCAACTTTCGATTTTTAAATGAAATGCCCTATACATTTTTACATATTTGGAATCCTGAGGAAATTCTGAGTCATACAGCATCCTTAAACTGACCTTTTGACGTTTCGTCATCAGAAAATGTATCATCATAAAGATCAATCTAGAGTGCTTTGAACTATCTTATTTTCTTCTAATGGATTCACACAATGCCTGAAAAATGGAACTTGCCTTAGAAAGTTGTTATTCAGCTATTCCCAGCAGTCTAAACTTGTCAAAATTCGTTTTTCTCAAATAGTTCAAAGCACTCTAGATTGATATTTATGATGATGCATTTTCTGATGACGAAACGTCGAAAGGTCAATTTGAGGATGCTGTCCGACTCAGAATTTTCTCAGGTTCTAAATATGTAAAAATATATAGGGCGTTCCTTTTAAAAAAAGAAGGTTGATATCGAGGTTGATATCATTTCCGGCGAAACCGGAAGTTAAAAAAATTCATTTTGTACTCTTATAAGTGGCATTTTATATCCTAATTAACCATGCAAAATTTCATTTGTATCTTTATAAATAAAAAAGTTACAGGGGGCGCCTATTCTCAGATACACCCGGTATTTGGAAGAAGAAATTATTTTGCATAACTTAAAAATAAACAATAAATAAGCACTTGAACTTTCTGAAGTTGTTGAAGTAGTTGTTAAAATAACCAAATTGTTACTTTATTTTTTTAATAACAACCAGAAAGTTCAAGTGCTTATTAATTGGTTATTTTTAAGTTAAGGGTAGTTATACAATAATTTTTTGTTTCAAATTAAATTGTCTTTTAAAAAATGTAAAAATAGAGTGTCCAATTTAAATAAATATTTTTGTGGATATTTCGGAATTTTTTTTTAAGATTATAAAACGCAGTACATACATAGGTACCTACTTTGTACAAAGCGACATAAAGTGTAGGTATACCTAAAATATATTTTGGATAATTTATAAATAAACAATTATATATAAACGGTTTACATTTTTGCTACTATTTTTACAAAAGCAGTTGGCATCATGTACTAGTGTTCAAGTTGAAAAAGTCAGCTGTTCAGGTACCTACAGGTGCAAGGGTAAAAGGCAGGTGGTTATTTTTTTAACTGCTTAAACTAATAATAGTATATTCTTTAACAAGTTTGGAATATGCAATTCCAACGTGTTTAAGACTATACTTTGTATGTTTCCAAAAATTACCATATACCTACAAATAATTTAATTGGAAGAAAGTGAGGTTGGATCGGTCTAAATATAATAACATATACGATTTAATATAAATTTATTTTTTAAATAATTAAACCAATCTTATACCTACGTATTAAATTTTTAAACAAAGAACTTGGTATGTAGGCTACTTTCCTATTCTAAACCGTAAGTATTTAAAATTCGTACCTACATCTAAAATCTAACTTAACCTATAAAATATGATATCATTGAAACAACTTTCATCAAATAAACAATAGGTACCATGTGAACTATTCTCGGAACTAATACATGAATTCACAAGGATTTTTTACTAAGAAAAAAAATAAAAGTTTGAAATATATTTTAGTACCTAATAAATTACAAGTTTTAACTTTATAAGGAT